CTACCTGTGTAATGGAATGTTATGAAACCACTAAAAAGTATTAAAAGTTCTGTACCAACTGATATGGAAAGACAACCACAATACATTTTTTGACCAAAATCAAATCAAAACAAAACCAAAAAAACTCTGACCCATATTATAAAACAGTAAATGGCCCGTATATATGTATATACTTCTATACACTTTTACAAAGTCACATCTTATAAATAATGGACAGAACGTATGTATGGGGGGAGGATTTACACCTTGTAATTTATCTTTTAATTTTAATATTTGTGATGAAATAAATATGTTAACATTGAAATTTTAAAAGAAATTAATGATCCAGCTTCTAGAAAGCAGAAAGCAAGACAACACCAAGAAGTTCAACAGCATTGCTTTCAAGTTCTGCCATACTGAATCAGCTCAAAGGATTTCCAAATCTTTGTGTCCCTTTTCCAAGTTTCAAATTCTCAGGTGAGAGAATCTTAAAGGTGTACTTGGGTGAGATGTCTTCCCTTAAAGTCCATTATAACTGAGAACACAGTTGCACAGAACAGACATTGTTACTGGGGGCCCATCTTTCTGTTGGGAACCATACAGAGACAACACAATCCAGCACCTGGGCCACTGAAGTGCCATCTTAACTTTTCTCCTTGTCTCCAGTCTTCATTAACTGGAAGAGAATGAAGAACTAAGCCCCACAGAAAGTGATTTGAGTGACATTTCTCAGTTATTCCAAGTCCATGAAATGAAAGTCACTCTGTCGTGTCCAACTCTCTGTGACCCCATGGACTATACAGTCCGTGGAATTCTCTAGGCCAGAATACTGGAGTGGGCAGCCATTCCCTTCTCCAGGGGATCTTCCCAACCCAGGTCTCCTGCATTTCAGGCAGATTCTTTACCAGCTGAGCCACCAGGGAAGCCCAGGAATACTCCAAATCCACAGCTAGTTCCATTCTAGATACATAAGAGAGAAGTTGATTTATTAAAAATATATCAGATGCCTTAAGGGATTAAGGATTATTGTTATAGGGGAACCCCAGCTTAAAAGGGCTGGTCGACTTCAGTGAAGTTGGATGTCTAAACAGGTGCTGTTGGCTGGTGGGTGTCCAGGAGTAGTATCTCTAGCCCCAGCCCCATCCCCACCCTCACTCCCATGGGTTTATCCACATGCACGCATGTGGGTGTGCTTTGCATACACAAGCAAAAAGGGAGACCTGGAGCTAGATGGAACCAGACTTTCACACCCCAAGAGCAACCAACATTTCATACACTGTATAATCCTATAGAAATTGCATAATCCTACTCTTATTTAATTTATAGTGCCAGAGTGCAACAATAGAGGATCTGGATGTTTCCCTGAAAATAAAAGAAAGCAGCAGTTTACCTGAATAAAACTCTCTCAGCAGATCATCACTAATTGCAGGATAACGTTTAAACTTCCTGACCAACCTAGACAGCATATTAAAAAGCAGAGACATTACTTTGCCAACAAAGGTCCTTCCAGTCAAGGCTATGGTTTTTCCAGTAGTCATGTATGGATGTGAGAGTTGGACTATAAAGAAAGCTGAACACTGAAGAATCGATGCTTTTGAACTGTGGAGTTGGGGAAGACTCTTGAGAGTCCCTTGGACTGCAAGGAGATCCAACCAGTCCATCCTAAAGGAGATCAGTCCTGGGTGTTCATTGGAAGGACTGATGCTGAAGCTGAAACTCCAATACTTTGGCCACCTAATGTAAACAGTTGACTCATTTGAAAAGACCCTGATGCTGGGAAGGATTATGGGCAGGAGGAGAAGGGGCCGACAGAGGATGAGATGGTTGGATGGCATCACCGACTCAATGGACATGAGCTTGGGTAAGCTCCGGGAGCTGGTGACGGACAGTGAGGCTTGGTGTGCTGCGGTCCATGGGGTCGCAAAGAGTCGGGCATGACTGAGCAACTGAACTGAATTGAACTGATCTAGCCCACCCGACAGTCACCCTTCCCTCTTCCTTCCCTCCCCTACACCCATAGCCTAAACTCATACATACCTTAAACCTGTGGCCTTCTCACTCTTCTTTCTTTGCCCAGGCTACCTGTTTTCCTCTTACTTATCCTTCAAGACCCTGCTTTAATATCACCACTACTATGAAGCTTGCCAATCCATCACTTCTCCTTCCCACAAAACTAGCATGTCTCTATTCCCCTCCCCAGGTTTCCCAGATGGCTCATTGGTAGACAATCTGCCTGCTAATGCTAGAGATGTGGGTTGGCTCCCTGTGCCAGAAAGATCCCCTGGAGAAGGACATCGCAATCCACTCCAGTATTCTTGCTTGGAGAATCCCATGGACCGAGGAGCCTGGTGGGCTATAGTCTATGGGGTTACAGAAGAGTCGGACACAACTGAGGGACTAAAACAACAATTTCACGCCCCCTTGGCCTTTCTACATCATTCTATTACATCACTCTCACACTATTTTCATCACTATATGTCTGTCTCCTGCCAAGAACATGTATTTCCCAAGAGCAAGACTCTCTCCACACCAAGCATAATCTGTGTTCATCATACATGTCAAGGAATGTTATTGATTGAATGTGTGTAAAGAAAATGCACTGATCATTTTTCTGTTAGGTGGAAGTCCACCAGTTATCTCCAGCAATCAAATATAAAGGTTATGCTTACCTCCATTATGAAAAACCCAAAGGATTTTCCCAGAAGCCTTTCCAAAAAACTATCATCACCTTACAACAAATACTCTGTTAAATAAGAAGAAATGACTTTCACCTGAGCTACTCAAGTAACAGAGGGTGAAGGATGGTCAACTGAGAGAAGCTATTCAGATTAGTCTTTTTATTACTGAATTTCACTTAAAAAAAAAAAAACAGCATTACTTCCTGCTGCACAAAATCTCTGAAGGAAGGCTAAAGGGCTGATGGTCAAGTTTTTTTTCCCCCCCCTTTGTCAAAAAGAGGAGAAAAATGAATATCGTTATAATTTAAGAGAAAAGAAGAGGAACCACAAGCGGTTTGCCTGGTTAGTGACACTTTATTTCTCAGCACAAAATGTCACATGAATCTTATTTCCTGTTTAGTGCAAGGAATTGCTATTCATCAAGCACAGGGCAGCATTTGGAATTCATTTATCTGAGTTTCGTAGCTTTGGGTTCATGATACCTACAGCTGGGGGCTCTGATTTCATTTTCCAGAGCAATGAAGGGACCTCACAGACAGCAATCTGCATGCATTAGATTTCATACAAGAGTCAAGATTTGGTCTCGAGAGAAGGACAAATAAAACACACACAAACAACAAAGCTAGAAGGAAGAGGAAACAAACAAACAAACAAACAGAGAGCAACCTATTAATCCAGGAAGAAAACACATACCATCATTTTCATTATTAGAACTCCCTTGTTTTCACCCTCACTCGAGGCAGCCAACATGTTTCCTTTCCCATTTAATTCCCAAGGCACATTTTTGGGGTGTTCAGGAAAAATGCCAAATTAAATGGTTCAGAAAATCTATTGACTCTGAGTAGAAATACTACACAGGAGACCACTTTTGTTCTCGCTCTCATTTTCTTCCTCCTCTTCTTTCCTATAGGGATCGGCATGAAAAGCCCAAAACCTAAGACTTGCGTGCCTTGTCCAGGAACTACAGAGAATGGAGACCAGGGCAGCCACATCCTATTCCTCATCCTGGTGTGGAGGGAGAAGCCTGCAGGGGGTTGGGGGGAAGTGTGAAGAGAGGATGAGAAGTTGAGTGCCCCGGGGGCCTGCTCCCTAGAGGAACAGCAGTGCAGAGCTGACCTGACCCCACTCAAATGTGGGCTTCCCAGGTGGTGCTGGTAGTAAAGAACCTGCTTGCTAATGCAGGAGACATAAGAGAAGCAGGTTGGAACCCTGGGTCAGGAAGATCCCCTGGAGGAGGGCATGGCAACCCGCTCCAGTATTCATGCTTGGAGTATCCCATGGACAGAGGAGCCTGGCGGGCTATGGTCCATGGCGTCACAAAGAGTCGGACATGGCTGAAGCGATGGAGCATGCATGTGCTTAAACGTACAGGTTTCAGGAGGGCTTTGTCCTTTAGTTTATTCACAAATTTAGAACAAACTACTTACTCCCACACTGTAGCCCCAGGTCAATCATATGTTTACTACTTGGTCCATTTTGCAGTTCATTTCATAAACTTCAGATGTATATAAGTAAATGCCCATAAGATGCTTGGCTCAGCCTGGGCAATGCTAAACTCCTCCTCCTCTTCCCTAAATTTGCTCCTTTTCTGACTATCTCCTCTGTCCTCTTTCTGGTATTGATACCACCCCAACCCTAGCCACACAGGCTAAAAATTGAGAGACCATCTCATCCCCACACTCTCCTTCAATCCCACCCCCAACCCCAGCACCATGTCACCAGTTACTAAATTCTGGCTAATTTATCTCCTAACTCATTCTCAGTTCCTCCCACCAGCCTTCTCTTCTTTTCCATTTTTAGTTCAGCATTTCTTCCTGTAAAGCAGTCTTTGGTGCATAAGACACCCTTACCAATCCTTGGTATTGACTGAATGAAAAAGGATCTTCCTGTCTGTTTACTATGGGGTAAATGAGGACCAGATTCTTTTAGAGTTGAGCTGAAGAGGGAAAATAGAACAGGATTTCAGGAGATGCCTGAGAGGAAGGCATGATCAAAGGGAATATAACCCAAATTTCCTCTGCTCTCCTCAGCCTCTCATTGCAATACTTCAAAGTTGCTTCTCTGTCCTGTCGTTTTTTATTTTTACTTTTTCCTGACACTCAGCACTTTATTGGTGAGGAACCGAGGTCTGAGAAAGGGGGTCTGGGATGGCCAGGACTAGCTCCCATTCTCGACGGATTCCCCTGGACATCAGTTGGTCCTCCATGCACGTTTAGAGGAGGAAAACACCCTCACAGATAAAATCCCCGGGGAGCAGCCCTGTGACGGCCACGCAGCAGCGCTAGAAGGGATGCCCTGACCACAGCAGGGCCCCGGGGAAGCGGGGCCTCTGTATCGGGCTCGATGTCCAGGGTCAGAAAGCGGTGGCTGTACCTGCGCAAGGGCCCACCGTCCGGACCCACCAGGAGCTTCCCGGAAGCTCTGGGTGAAGTCCCTGCGGGACACGGGAAACCGCGAGATGAACCTGGGATCCTTCGCGAGGGCCGTGGTGGCGTCACTGGGCATGCGCAGGGCCTCGCCAAGGCCGGCAAAGAGCCGGTGCGCCTGTGCGCGCCGGGGTCGCCCCGGGTGGTGGGCTAGCAGCAAAGGCCTAGTGGAGAGACGGGAGAGCCCCGGCCAGAGAGCCCCTCTGTCCTGACAAGGATTTGGGAGCTAGGCTCAGCCTTGCAGTAGTATCCAGTGATCCCAATAATCTGTGGGCGGTTGTTTGATTGCTCAACCGTGTTCGACTTTTTGCGGCCCCAGGAACTGTAGCCCGCTGGGCTCTTCTGTCCATGGGATTCCCCAGGCAAGAATACTGGCGTGAGTTGCCATTTCCTTCTCCAGGGGAATCTTCCTGACACAGGGATCGAACCCAGGTCTCCTGCGTTGGCAGGAGGATTCTTGATTACTGAGCCCCCTGGGAAGCCCAATCTCTGGGTTACAAGAGTGCTTGTCCAAAAAGGCAATTGCCTGATGCTTGTCCAAAAAGGCAATTGCCTGGAATCTCACTGAAATGCAGACCCTAATTCAGGAGGTTTGAGTTCAGCCTGAGCTTCCCAACAAGTTCCTGGTGATGCCGAGGCCGCTGAGTAGCAAAAGTTTAGATAATCTCTTTCGAAGTAAAATTTCATAACCACAAACCAGAACTCTGTCGCGATTGAAGCATTTCAAGTAGCTCTAGGCTCTGCAAGCCTCCAGGTTATGCAGTTTCAGAGCAGGTCAGAAAAGGGTGGGAAATGGATAGGGCTGGTTAGTGGAAAACTTACGCAGTTCATCAGCTCTTAGAATAAAAGCTTCAAACTGGACTGTGAATTCTCATCCTCTTTGTAGAGATGTGTGACTGTTTTAAAACAGATCATCTGTAAGGACAGAGCGGGGATAAAGCCACTCTTGACTGGCCTCTTGGACACCCTGACCTCCAGGCGAGGTCAGGACTGACAGGAAGCAAACAGTAGGTGTGGTGGCCATCTCAGGATAGTTCCCTCCCTGCCCGTTCCGGCTGCAGACACCACCCAGAGAATCTGGCCTCCAACTCCCACTTCACCTGACAAGTCTTTTAAAGGATCCTGGGCAAGTGTGTATGGTTCAGACACTGTTCTAAATATTAGGAACCATGCTGGTTTTCCCAAGTAAATTCCTGCTTTCTTTCCCAAGGAGCACTTTCATATCTAAGAAAATGTAAATAGGAGTGAATGATTTCCACACACTAAGACCTACTCCAGATGTGTTGTAAACTTGATGAAGAAACCAGGACAAACTAATTATGGGAAAACATAGAGGACGTTTGGATCAGAATGTTAAGCCTTCAAGTTCATCCTCCACAAAGCCATAGAATGCAAACTGCTGAGGCTTGGACCATCCAGCTTAAAAGGAAAAAGGATTTCTCTGACCTCATTGCCTCAGAAAAGCTCAATAGGTCACGTTTCCGGCTTGAGCCACCAAGCCCTCCTTTGGCTTTTCCTTCCTATGCGCAAAATTTCAGAAGTCGCTGTGTTGCTGAATTTCCTTTGGTAACAGAAAAAACAGCCATTATTGTTGAATGCAAGGAACTGATCTGACCTAGAATTAATGATTTCTTCCTGCAAGTGACAAAGTCTGTTTCCTCCAGCTGATAATGAAACCCTGGAAAGGCCTGCATTTTCAGAAGCAAATCACCCAAAGCAAGGGTGCAGTCCTGGACCCTTTTCAATCAAAATTTGGAGAATCTTACTTTAAAACAATTTTTTTTATGTTGCAGTAAAACATACATAATATAAAATTGACCATTTAAACCATTTTAAAGTGTGCAATTCAGTGGTATTATGCACATTAAGAATCATGTCTTTAAAATAAATATAAATAGGTCCCTAAGTCTCTCTGAAGATATATACTCAATAAAGGCAACCAAAAAAGAGCTATGGTTTTTATTCTAGAGAAGGATGGAAAAGTGTGATACTTTCATACGAATAATTTACAGGCCTAGAGCAAGGGGGGGAAATCCTGTTATCATTCTTTTTGTGGTAGGGAAGGTGAGCTAGGATATTAGGGGGATCTCCACTCACCTCTCAGCTTCAGGCGAGGTTCCTCCAATATTTTCTGAATGTACTGTGTGCCTGACAAGCAGGCCAGTCCTGGGCTCATACCATTTGAAGATTCACTGATAGAAAGTCCATCTTCCTACGTGCTAAGTCTCTTCAGTCACTCCCCCATCCAACATAAAGGAGTATGGATTAGGGTAAAACTGTACTATGTCCTCTAAGACCTAGGCTTTGCAGTCAGAAAAATCTGAGCACCAGCTCTACTGCTTCTGGTATTGTTGCAAGTTACTTACGGTCTTTGCTACAAAATGAGGATTAATATTAGTATCTACTTCTTAGGTTGGTTATAAGGCTAAATTACAGTTTTCTTTTTTTTGAATCCAATTAAAAAAATTTTTTTTTACCACATCATGGCTTGTGGGATCTTAGCTCCCCCACCAGAGATCAAACCTGGGCCCTTGGCAGTGGAAAGCTCAAGAGTTCTAACCACTGGACCACCAGGGAATTCCCAAGACTTAAATTAGATAAGAAGATTAGTCAGGATATTGTAGGTTCTGCTGCAGTAACAAATGAACCCCTATACTTGAGTGACTCTACCTGAAAATCTTTACTCCTTTTACAGTCTGAGGGGTGGGCAGGTGGCTTTCCTTCAAAGGTGATCAGGGCTTTGGGCTGCTTCCAGATTGTATCTCTGACATCTTGAAGGTCTTTGCTTCCCAGTGAATGTAGGCCCTGCATTAGCTCCTTACACCCTTGGTCTCAAAGTAACTATGTCCTTCCTGGTTGTAGTCCTTTGGAAATAAGCATGTGGATCAGTCATAATTGGAGTAAAAAGTAAACATCCTGTGAAGGGCCACTTATTGAATGGATTATTTACAAAGGTGTGAGCAGGGTTAAGGGAATTACCTGGTGGATCAGTAGTAAAGAATCCACCTGCCAATGCAGGAGACATAGAGATGCGAGTCTGATCCCTGGGTTGGGAAGGTCCCCTGGAGAAGGGCATGGCCACCCACTCCAGTATTCTTGCCTGGAGAATCCCATGCACAGAGGAGCCTGGCGGGCTACAGACCATAGGGTCACAGAGAGTCACACACAACTAAGGCGATTGAACACGAGCACGCAAAGTGGGGTTAAAAGAAACCACAAGAGATGGTGAGACCTCCCAAGGCTGCCAACAACTCAGTGGAGGTCTTGGATTTTCAGTAGCTGCAACTCAGGGAGCCAATGTGAGATGGGAGGCTGGGAACAAATAACCTACCTTTTCTGTCCTCCCATCCTTCTGACTCTTGCTGTTGCCCCTCGGTGGTCAAACTCAACTACAAACCAGAGTCAGTGGAGTTTAGAGGATGCCGTCCATATGAGGTCAGCTTCCTAGGGGCTCAGGGCAGGGTATGAAAGTTTATCTGGAGCAGCAGGTGGAGAATCCCTAGTACAACACATAGAAGGCTTAGCCGTGTGCTGAGCACATAGTCGACGCTGAAAAATAAAAAAGAGTGAATGGTGGGGGGAGCTAGTTAGGGAGTTTGGATTGACATGCACACACTGCTATATTTTAAATAGATAACCAACAAGGACCTACTGTATAGCACAGGGAACTCTGCTCAATAACAGACTAATAAACAGTCTAAATGTAACAAACTAAATGGGAAAGGAATTTGAAAAAGAGTAGATCCATGTGTGTGTATGGCTAAGTCACTGTTGTACCCCTGAGACTAACACAGCATTGTCAACCAACTCTACTCCAGTATAAAATAAAAAGTAAAAAAATAAGATACAAATTTCTAATCGTAAGATAAGTACGAGGGATGTAATGTACCATGTCATTAATATAATTAACACTGCTGTGTGTTATATACAAAATTTGTTAAGAGAGTAAATCCTGAGTTCCTTTCACCTGGGAAATTTTTTTCTTTTCCTTTTATTTTGTATCATATCAGATAATGGATAGCCACTAAATTTATAGTGGTGATCATTTATTAATGTGTGTAAGTGAAGTCATAATGTTGTTCACTGTAAATTTATACAGCACTGTATGTCAGTTACATCTCAATAAAACTGGGAGGAAAAAAGGAGTGAAAGAATTCAAGAAAATGTGAAGAAAAATATTTAAACAAAACTTATGTTTCTTGAAGTCTTCACAGTTCACTTTCCTTCTGACAAGAGAAATTCACAGTTCCCAAAGAGAATTTTTCTGTTCACAACACTGATTTTTCAACAAGAGCTCTGTGTCCAAAGCTGGGCTGTCCTTTCTCTCTCCTAAAAGCGAGTTTGATGGAAAGAATGGCATTTTGTTTGCAAAGCAAGAGACATTGATAGCTCCGCCCCAAAGAACTTTATCTGGGCAGCCAGTAATTACAACCTAAGTTAGGCTGAATGGCACAGCTCCCCTGATAACTGCTGTTACTGTTTTCAGTCTTTCACTTGCCAACAAGATCTTCTGGTCCCTTATCTTGTTCTGGGGCCAACCCAACAAGAGCGGGAGAAGTTGAAATTCTGACACTTTAAAGCACAGGACGTTGTGAACAAGCTGGTGAGTTGTTTGTGTTAGGCTTTGCTAAATAATAGGCTGGGTTCGGAGCCAGTAAAAAGCTTTGGAGAATCGCGTTTGATGTTTATTCATATGGAGTTTCTCATTCTGCACGTAAATGAAATGATCTTTTTCCAAGGGTCAAGTTTAGTTCTTGCTGCTTTCCTCCAATTGAATGTTGATGTCAGAAACTCCGGGAGGGGTTGTTGAGGACTTCTCTGGTGATCTAGTGGCTAAGACTGAGTTCCCAATGGGAGGGACCTGGGTTCAATCCCTGCTCAGAGAACTAGATCCTGAATACTGAGACTAAGACCTGGCATAGCCAAATAGGTACATAAATTAATTACAAATTTAAAAAAAGGAACTCAGGGGAGTTTTGAATTTGAAGGACATTTAGAAATCCTTTTGCCCAACCTGCTTACACACCATCTCTTTGGAGAGACTGGGGTTCAGCCTGTCCCTGATGGGAGGCTTACCTGATACCAGCAGCTCCTGTGTGTGTGCTTTGAACCAGGTACAGAGCTTTGGTGCACAGGCTTCGTTGCCCCGAGGCA